TCTGTCCTATCTTAAACATATAAGAATATAACCTTGGGCTCATCATTAACTGCAGTACTCAATGATAACTCTTCCTGGAAATCTCCATCTGGTGAATTTGCATTTGGCTTCCAACAGATTGAAACTGGAGAGTTCTTACTGGCCATATGGTTTGATAAAATACCTGAAAAGACCATTGTATGGTTAGCCAATGGCGGAAATCTAGTGCAACAAGGCTCAAAAGTTCAACTTACAACAGATGGCCAGTTCGTGCTCATAGACCCCAAAGGACAAGAGGTATGTATGGCCAATTTGAATGGCACTGGTACTGTTTCTTATGTAGCTATGCTCGACACTGGAAACTTTGTGGTAGCAAGCCAGGACTCCACCAACTTGTGGGAAAGTTTTGATCAGCCAACTGACACAATACTACCCACACAAATATTAAATATTGGCAGCAGCCTTGATGCTCGTTATTCAGAAATGAACTACTCGAGTGGAAGATTTCTGATGCAGTTTCAATCAAATGGAAGTCTTGTACTTTCCACCATACATTTCCCACTACGTTCACTAAGTACTGATTACTGGTCAGCTAACGCTAACGGAAATGGTTTTCAGGTTATCTTCAATTTGTCTGGCTACATCTACTTAGAAGCTAAAAATAAAAGCATACTCAGTTATATAGCATCAATTGGAGCTTCCTCTAGCAACTTCTACCAGCGAGCAATCCTTGAATATGATGGCGTCTTCAGGCAATATGTCTATCCAAAGAACAATAGTGTCACTGCTGGAAGGCCTATGGCCTGGTCCTTGCTGTCTTATGTCCCAGACAATATTTGCACGAGCATCACAACACAAACATGGGTAGTGGGGCTTGCGGGTTCAACAGCTACTGTACTCAAGGAGATGATCAAAGATCTAAATGCCAATGTCCACCTGGATACTCATACTTGGATCCAGATAATGAAATGAATGGATGCAAACAGGCTTTTGCCCCACAAGAGTGTGATGGAGGCCAAGATGCGAATCTTTTTGATATACGAGAGATGCCCGGCATAAATTGCTGGGGAGGGGATTATGAATATTTTAACCCCGTTAGTGAGGATTGGTGCAGACAGGTATGCTTGACAGATTGCTTTTGTGCTGCTGCAATCGTTAATCCAAATCATGACTGTTGGATGAAGAAAATTCCTCTCTCAAATGGTGTGCAATTTAATAATGTTGGAACGACAGCACTTGTCAAAGTAAGGAAAGACAATTCCACAACATCCACCGCCAACGGTTCAAAGAAGCCCAAGTCAACACTGAATTTTATTCTAACCATGCTCTTTAGTAGCTCAGCATTTTTGAACCTTGTTCTGTTGATTGCTACTCTTTGGGTTGTTTTTAGAAAAAGAAGGATCACTCAGCCGTCCGAACAAATCCAAGGCGTAGCTTTACGAAGCCTCACTTACAAGGAACTTGAAGGAGCTACAAATGATTTCAAAGAAGAACTTGGGAAGGGTGCTTGTTCAACAGTTTACAAAGGAATTCTTGCTATTGGTAACAACAATTTGATTGCAGTTAAAAGATCGGACAAGATGGTGACAGACAACGAGCAAGAATTTCAAGCAGAAATGAGCGCAATTGGCAAGACAAACCAAAAGAATCTTGTGCAGCTGCTAGGATTTTGTAATGAGGGACAACATCGGCTTTCGGCGTATGAATACATGAGCAATGGATCTTTAGCATCTTATCTTTTTGGGAATTCAAGGCCAAGTTGGTATAGAAGAACTCAAATTGCTTTTGGAACTGCAAGGGGACTTGCTTATTTGCATGAAGAGTGCAACAACCAAATCATACACTGCGACATCAAGCCACAAAATATCCTTCTAGATGACTCCTTGACAGCAAGAATTTCAGACTTTGGATTGGCAAAACTTTTGAAGACAGACCAGACACAAACTCTTACCGCAGTTAGGGGTACAAAAGGATATGTTGCTCCAGAATGGTTCAAAAGCAAGCCTGTCACAGTCAAAGTTGACGTTTATAGCTTTGGAATTCTGCTGCTAGAGCTCATTTGTTGTAGGAAGAGTTTTGATCAAGATGCAAAGGATGAAAATCAAATGATATTGGCTGATTGGGCATACGATTGCTGCGAAGAAGGGAGAATGTATATGCTAGTGCAAGAAGATGAAGAGGCAATTCAGGATATAGAGACGGTAGAGAAGTTGTGATGATTGCCATTTGGTGCATTCAAGATGATCCATTGGTAAGACCCACTATGAAGAGAGTCTCACAGATGTTAGAAGGTGTTATTGAAGTTCCTCATCCTCTAGTCAATCCCCATTCAACAGTTTAATTTCAATCCACCGAAGCCCCATGATCTATTAATGGAGAAGAAGTGTGATCAATACTGTTCTACAGATTCATGGGGTGATGATCTCTGTTGATGCTGTTAGGCCTCTTCAAGATTTTGGGTGAAGAAAAGTGTTAGGACCCTGTTTCGCGTTCATCAAGCTAAATTCTTGAACTCTTGTATGTTTATATTTGTTAACTCTGTTACTTGTTCCATCTCTAACTAGTGTCATGTATGCTCATGAATAAGGTTGAGTGCATTACTTAATCAAGTCAAGATTGCACACATTTAACAACCAAACAGAAAAACTTGGATTAACCAATCCACGTATTAGCCATATGCAGAATTCTTGATATATAGTTTTTAGTAAGGTTTTGTAAAAAATATTCCTTGGGTTGCTCTAACAAATCAAGAAAAACCATAGAAACATTACAATTTCAATCAATGCGAAACCAGAATTGAACAATTTCCAATTTCAGAAACTGAGTTCTATGTGAAAGAGATACATGATTGAGAGAAGATGAAGGACAGAGCAATTCCTTCAAAATTTAATTGAAATTAGACCCACGAAGGTTTCAGAAACTTCAACAGAAATGGCGGCTCCAACGTGAAAGCGCTGAGCATAGCAAGAACAAAGTGAAAGAAGGACAGAGTCACGATTGAAACAGAGAGTGATGAACGGAGTAAGAATGAGGAAGAAACCAGTGATTAAATTGGAAGATGGCTAGAAAGGAAGATTGTGTAT